AATTTTCAAATACCTCCTTAATTTCATCCATCCATCCAATCCCTTTGTCCCCCTTATAAGTGAGGGGTCTCAAGACTTGTAAAATCTGGTTTTATAATTCATTTGGAAATTCCTTATAGTCTACTTGGGGATACAGGATCTAAGGGGTCCTACTGCCCCAATAAAAACTTTCATTGTGATACCTTGGTGCATACTGTCAGTGTTTTGCATTAGTGAGCAGCATCTGACTACTATACAATTCAATCCAGTTTTGCTTACTTTGTACTGCATCCAGGCTCAAGAACTAACCTGGGGACTTAAGTGGCTTGAATGCCTCCCACCCCAAGTTCTTCCCTTGACAACCAAGTCTCTCTCCTCATGGCTGTGCCTACAGAGACCCAAGTCCTGTAGATTATCAGGGTCAGGAAACTTCTTCTGTAAAGGACAAGAAAGTAAATATTTTAAGATTTGTGGGCTATACAGTCTCTGTGGCAACTATTCAACTCTCATAGTAGTGCAAAAGCAGCCACAGACAATGCATAAAAAAAAGAGCCTGGCTGTGTTCCAATGATACTCTTATTTACAAAACAGGCAGTGGGCCAAGTTTGTCCTGCAGGTCCTTGTCTGAGCCCTGGATTAGGTCAGAGACTAGAAAAAGAGGAATGGGGGCCTTGACTACACTGGGGATTTACCTGGGCAGAAGCAGACGAAAACCTCAGTAAAGTTCTTTACAGTCCATAAGCTACAAAGGACCAGAAACTGCTTTGTTCAGGAGATGTGAAGCCTTTAGGATTTTAGCTCTAGAATCTGAAGAACATCTCAGGAACTCAAGCTGGAAAGGGATCATCTTTTGAAATAGCAGATTATGATGCTGAACGAAAGAAGGAGGAGCAAAGAAGCCAGGGAAGAAAACACAGAGGCACATTCGAGAGCATCTGTCATTGCCCAGTGTCACACTAGGCGTCACCACAGCAAGTGTCTGTGGGTCGCTTTTGTGCCACTGTGCCTTCTAACAAACTGAACCATCTGCCTGGATGCTATTCTTACTCCCACCCTCTGCTTCATGAAAAAACTGTTTGAACACTAGTTCAAATATACAGCAAATGCTTTATTTCTCAAGCCTTATCCAAGCATGCCCAGCTGTCTTCCAACACCCAGCATCTACATCTTGTTGCCCCAGGAACATTCTCCAAAGCTGGGAAGAACTCCTGCCCTAGCAAGGCCAGCTGGAAGTACTAGGGATTAACACTCCCAGGAGCAGTGTCGGCCAATGACTGACTGGAGTGGATTATGAATGCCCCAGCTCCCTCACCCCTCAAATCAGGAGAAGTGTGTTCACTAGTGGCTTTAACTCTAGTCACCCCCTGTGAAAAGTGGCTTGATAATGTACCCTTGTTCACATCTTCCCCTCCCCCCCCCATTTTACTTCCCCACTTCCCTACTGGAGTTTCCTGCACTTTGCAAATACACTTTTTGCTCTCAAATCCTTGCTCAGGGTCTGTGCCTGGAGGAACCCCATCTAAGCAGAATGACACCTTCTCTGTGCATCTTTCTTCAGTGTCTCCATCCTACTCTCTGCAGAAGTATCTTTCAGGTACTGTATAGCTCAGTTTTTAAATGACTGTTTTATTTACATTTTGTCTGAACCACAAGAAAGAGAAGTACTTCAAGGCATCCTAGCCAACTTGAGATTCGTGTTACATGGCTTAGAGTATGCCAGAGTTCACATCATGTGTCGATGTGAACATTCAGAACTCTCAGATGTGCATGACACTGACGAAAGGCCAGGCCACTCACCAGAGGGTGAGCACGGGTGGAATGATGGCCAAGAGTATGCACTCCCTTTCTCCAAGCATTGGATTGGGAAGTAAAACATGTTTTCTGGTCTTTATGCAGAACTCTCATCTGGGTTGAATTTAAGCATTGGTAATTCCTTTATAAGGTATGGTCCTGAGCTCTGCAGTGGAGGACAAGAGCAGTGTCCATTCAGTCTGGCAGTGAGCTCCCTGCGGGCAGGTCCTGAGCTCTGCAGTGGAGGACAAGAGCAGTGTCCATTCAGTCTGGCAGTGAGCTCCCTGCGGGCAGGTCCTGAGCTCTGCAGTGGAGGACAAGAGCAGTGTCCATTCAGTCTGACAGTGAGCTCCCTGCGGGCAGGTCCTGAGCTCTGCAGTGGAGGACAAGAGCAGTGTCCATTCAGTCTGACAGTGAGCTCCCTGCGGGCAGGGTCCTGAGCTCTGCAGTGGAGGACAAGAGCAGTGTCCATTCAGTCTGGCAGTGAGCTCCCTGTGGGCAGGTCCTGAGCTCTGCAGTGGAGGACAAGAGCAGTGTCCATTCAGTCTGACAGTGAGCTCCCTGCGGGCAGTGTCCATGAGCTCTGCAGTGGAGGACAAGAGCAGTGTCCATTCAGTCTGGCAGTGAGCTCCCTGCGGGCAGTGTCCATGAGCTCTGCAGTGGGGGACAAGAGCAGTGTCCATTCAGTCTGGCAGTGAGCTCCCTGCGGGCAGGGTCCTGAGCTCTGCAGTGGAGGACAAGAGCAGTGTCCATTCAGTCTGGCAGTGAGCTCCCTGCAGGCAGTGTCCAAGTTGGGACTGAATTAGACATCCCCAGGGAGCTCACTGCCAGGCTGAATTGGACACCTGTGAGTGTGCCCTCGTTTGTTTCCTCAGGACTTAGCTAAGAATGTGGTGGGCACTCAGTCAATGTTTGCTGAATGGTATGACGGAATGAGCAACTGAAATGAGTACCCCTTAGTGAACAGCGGGAACCACACGTGGCCTCACAACCAATGGAGGTGATGCCATGGGCTTGTCCACCGCTCCTCTCCTCCTTTTTATCATTGATTTGGAAGCTCAAAGTCTCCAGCTCCTAACATTTTAGCAAGATTAGAGTCTACCTGGGCCACAAAGGGGCCTTAGAGGTGATTGAATCTATTTTTTAATTATATGAATGAGGAAATGGGGCTGAAAGAGACCAAATAATTTGTTCCAGGTCACAGGGCTAATTCACGGCAGGAAGCTTCTGATGTCCTTACGGCTGGTAGGACAGATGCCTACTTCTGAACATCTGCATAGCAGCCTTGCCTTTTATTTTTTATATCATTCTAAGGTTGTATTTGTTTTTTGAAATAGTAATAGGTCCCCATAATTGAAAACCCAGAAGGCACAAAAAGTCATGTTGCTTTTCCTGCTCCAGCCACCCATATCCCTTCCTAAGGAGAGCCACCGGTACTGGTTTCTTTTGTATCCTCAGAGAGATGGTCTATGCACCTAAGTGAAGAGAAAACATGAGTATATGTGTGTGTGCGTGTGTTTTAAGTATACGACACACTTTGATTTTTACACGCAGCCATGTGTCCCTCCTAGTGCTTTAACTCATCCTTCATGCTGCCTCTTGATCCACTTCTGAGTGCTCCTGGGACCTTTCTTGCCGGCTGCTGATCTCTCCTTGCATCCAAACGTTCACTCACTCCCAACTTCCCTCCTGCATGGTTCTGGAGCCTCCACTCTGTGCTCTATGCCTCACCAGATGTACCTTCCTGCATCATTTTTCTGCCCTGCTTTAAACCCTTCCATAGCTCCCCTCGTGTGAAATTCATGGCCCACCTCAAACTGTCCATGCTACCTCCTGTCCACAAATGTGCAGGCCCTCCCCTCTCCCCTTTGGGTGGAGCATTCCCTTGGCTTAAAGGTGCCTTCTCCTGAATCCTCTCCCTTTTTAAATCCTGCCTTTCTTTCAGATAACTGCTGAAAAGCTACCTCCTCCATGAAATCTTCCTCCCCTCAGGTTCCAGCAAGAAGTAGTTTTTCCCTTCCTGGCCCAGGCATAGCATTGAGTGTCTGCCTCCTGGCACTGGAGTTTGTTTCCATCTTAGCCTCTTACTAGACTGAGGGTTTCATAGGGGCAGGGATTGTGCTTGTCTTACACATTTTTGCATCTTTCACTTAACCTGAAGCAGTGTTTGTGCACGCTGTCCCGATCACCTAACAGACAGCTATTGGATGGACAGCTGGCAGGGCTCACAGTGCACAGTCATATATGAGCTCTACTGAGAGGCATAAATTAATCAGCAGCTTAGAACTTACTTCCCCTAGGAGCCATAACTAGGGAAAGACAAAGGGAATGGAGAACTGGGCTGTTCCTACTCGTTTTTTTTTTTTTTTTTTGCTATTTTTTTTTATATACTTTTACATCGTAAGTTGTATGTTTTCCAGCTTAGGATGCAGCTCACACAAAGTCTTATTCACCTTTGTATTTACTACAGCTTCTAGGGCCATGGTAGGCCCAAGCTCCCAAGAAAAGCTCAACTGAATAAAAATGATGGACTACTAGAAAGTCCCACTAAACCAACTGGTTTATGATGAACTGACATCATACCTATGCTGTCCTGGGTGGTGATTGTTCTTGGCAGTGCCTAGATCCCAAGGGTATTTTACATTTCCTTCTGACGCCAAAATCTGCAATTTCAAGGATTTAATTCTGGAATGTCCAGACGTTTTAGACAGAGCAGTTGTTTTAAAAGTGTGGTTCCAGGACCAGCATCATCAGCATCACCTGAAAACTTGCTAGTGATGCTAGGCACATTCTCGGGTCTCATTCCAGATCTGCTAAATCATAAACTCTGGGGTGGTCCCCAGCCATCCACGTTGTCATACACCTTCCAGGTGCTTCTGACACCAAGTTTGAGAGCCACTGAGCTAGAGGTGCAGAGAGTCTCTGCAAGCCCAACGTTTTCCTGCCCCGCACCTGGGCTACTTCACATGTACAGGAGGCCCCTGGCCTCCTCTGCAATGTAAGATGGGCATTCAGAGGATGGTGCACACCTCTCAGGGCTCTGTGAGTCACCCATGGGAAATGCTGTCATTCAGTGTGAACAGGAAATCAACAACTTATTAAGAATATTTAGAACAGGAATAGCATGCTTTTATGTTGCTTAAGATTACTTATTCATACTGAAAGAAACAAGCCTTTCATCAAGCAGGGAAAGAACTAGGCACATTAGAAAATAAAATCATTAGCTGGTCGTATTGTGTGAAAATGTTTTGTTTAGATCAATAGCTGGCTGAAGTTAAGGTATACGATATAAAAGTTTTGCCTTTTTGTAGAGGCATATAGTAACTGTCTAACGTTCAGGTGCGCTAAAATGTATGTAACTCTTTGAGAAGCAAAACTCTGCTTTTTAGGGTTGATGAGTACACTGCTTGGGGTGCATGCATCTACTGCTACTGCCGTGTGTAGGAAGTTCGAAGGAGTGTTCAAGTGGTGAGCGTGGAAGGCTTAATGCGTTTGCTTCGTCTGCTCGGTCCGTCCTCTTTAGGTAGTTTTCCGCATCTGACCTAAAACACAATAGAGAGCTCCGGCTCTGCTGTGGATGGAGAGACAGAGCTGGTTCTCTCCAGCTTCTCACTAGGAAGGAATGGGATGTATTTGCTCACGTAGACGAGCACGTGCCTGTGGAAGAAGTGGCACAGGTACTTGCGGAACCTCTCTCCAACGAAGGCGTAGATCACCGGGTTCACGCAGCAGTGGGAGTAGGCGATCACCTGCGTCACCAGTAGGGCCAGGTCCAGATCCTTGCTCTGCTTACAGTCATATCCAAACAAGTTGACTTGAAAGGTATAGAGAAGGAGAGCCAGGTTGTAGGGTGTCCAGAAAATGAAAAACACCACCATGATGACTAAAATGAGTCGGATGGCCTTGTACTTTTTTTTACTGGGGCACCTCAGCAGTGTTTTGACAATTCCTGTGTAGCAGATGGCCATAACGAGCAGAGGCAGAGCGAGAACCAAGATGTTTACTCTCAGAGCATAGAAATGCTTCCAGCTTTGTGCTCCATCCTCGGGGTACACAGGGTTGCAATAAGACCCTTGGAGAACGTTTTCGGTCTTTTGGAAGATAAATTCAGGAAGAGCTGCTAGCACTGCCAAGCCCCAGGTGACAATGCTGGTGATGACACCAAAAGTGACAGTGCGGGCTCGAAGGGCAAACACGGCGTGGACAATGGCCAGGTACCTGTCGATTGTCAACAGGATGATGAAAAAGATCTCGCTGTACAAGCCTGTGAAATAAAACCCCGAGATGGCCTTACACATGCCATGGCCAAAAACCCAGTCACTCCACATGATATAGTGGATCCAGAATGGAAGGGTGAAGAGGAAGAGCAGGTCAGAAATGGCCAGGTTGAGCAGGTAGATATTGGTCATAATTCGGAGCCTCCTGTATTTTATGAGGATCACCACCACCAACACATTGCCCAAGAGGCCCACAATGAACACCAGGGAGTACAGCGGGGGCAGGAACTTGGCAATCAGTGCTCTGATATCGCCTTTTGTGCAGAGCTCACCCGATTCATAATAGAAGGGCGTGGTACCAAAGGTCTCAACCGTATCTAGTGAGGTCGCCATTTCGCTTCTCCCTGTGATCAAAGAAGAAAAATACAATCCCACAATTAAGCATCATCACCCTTTGTAAAACACAGCGGTTGATTTATGCATGTACTCAACGAAGACGCTACATGTGATAGCAGCCTGGGGATTCTTTAACATGAATTTCAAAAAGCATATCAGAGGTGCCAGGAGGGGGGTTCAGGAAGAAAGAGTTTCTGAAGCTTTCAAAGGCAGCATGACCCAGGATGGGAAAAGAAATGTGGGATAGTGGTGAAGAATGGCGATACTGATTTCTGAAAGCATTTGAAGGAAGAAATGCAAAACAGGAAAACACAGGCTGGATAAAGATAACAATAATAATAATAATTATTATTACTACTGTCTCATGGCATTTTGCATTTTACAGTTTACAGTTTATATATGACTTTCAAAATCCTTATCCACTTAAAAGCAAAATATATATAAAAATAATAACAATGATTATTACAATTACTAGTAACTGTGCTTCTCTGGGGCCCCATAATGGTCTACCCTTCATTATAGTTAATGGGGAAATTGAGTATTAAAGAAATGTAGAGATGTGTCCAAAATCCTATAACAAGTAAATATAAAATTTGGGCTGGATCTTCAGTCTCTATGTCCATTTCTCCTGTCACTAGATTGAAATGTAGCAATTTTTAAATTTAACTTTTGAAAATTTTGCTATGGACTTGAGGAACAACTGGATTGTGTGCTATTAACAGCATCCTTATTCCTAATGGCATAATCCATTCCACAGCGGCTATGACAAAAATACATCTTTTATCTGTTGCACATGGACAATCACAGTAATGAACTATTACAATTATAAGCAGCATTCATTTAGGTTACTTTCCTTTTCCAGCTCCTTGTGATGCTGAGTTAGGCTGGTCTTGTACCCTAGGAACTTCTCCATTACAAAGGGGTGAGCAGGAGGGGGTCAATTAATGGTATTTCTTATTAGACTCAATATTTCTTATGCCAGGGGCCCTGAGGCCAGTGCCTGCTTTTCTTGAGATTACGGACTTAAGTGGAGAAGGAGAAAAATAGGAAGCAGATAAGGTGGGAGTCATGGAAAGATGGTTAAGCCACACACTGGTTCCTTGGAGGGCATTCAACTGACTTTCTCCTTTCAAGGAGGGAAGGACAAGGGTGAAGATGTGAATATACAGGCTGATGGGCATTTCTCAAAGTAAATCTGAGAAGTGCTTAATAACTGGGGCTAATACCATGAATTGTTTTTCTTCTTAATAAAATGATCGATGGAATACTGAGGCCCCACACATTGGGGTTCTGTGTGGTCAAAGTCAGTGAGAGTAGAGATGGAAATGGAGCCAGTGCTAGCACCCCTCAGCTGGATGCCTTGCACAAGTCCTTAATGCAGAGCCTCCTTTACTTATCTCCAAAGTGAGGACCATTGGGTCACTGGGGTTGCCATGAGGATAAACGAGAGAGTGTATGTGAGTTCACATTTGAAACTGGAAAAAGCTGTAAAACTGGTAGGAAGCAGGAATGAAAGAAAGACTATCAGAAGCCATTTCAAGTGAAATTAGGGTCCCTTGGGTGGAACTTGTTGCTTTCTTTTCATGGGTCTGTTCAGGTCCATCTCCCACTGATCAATGACACATTCCAGGCTTTTGAGGAGGAAAATGGACTTGAGGAACAAATGGTTTGCGTGTGTTACTATCAGCATTCTTATTCCTAATAGCAAATCCAATCCATAGCAGCTGAGAAAAAAAATACACATTTTGTCAGTTACACATGTAGAGTCACGGAGAGTGTCCTTCTAAACTTCAGCATCTAAAGCAAGAAAGCAACAGGCTGTTTATTCCGGAGGACAAAGGTATGGTAGCCTGTACTCACTGTTAGTTATTTCTATTTATTTTCCTTTTCTCCAAGAGTGATTTAAAAACAAGACAAACTTTTTAAAAATCTCTTAAGTTTTGCTCAATTTGCCTCTTTAACTCATGTTATTTCTGTAAAATCAACATGATTGGGATGATAAATCACAGAACCTTTTTGTTTGGGCTTCAGGGCTGCCTATGAGCTTTTAGCACTAAAGTTCAAAGCTCAAGAAAGCATGCAGGTTCCCCAGCGTCAGCAGCCCAGGCCTTGATTACCAGCTGCGTGGGGTCAGAGAGAGAAAATCTCATCTGGGCAGGGCACCTTGGCTCATGCCTGTAATCCCAGTACTTCGGGAGGTCAAGGTGGGAGGCTTGCTTGAGCTCAGGAATTCAAGACCAGCCTCAACAATATAGTGAGACCCTGTCTCTACAAAAAGAAAAAAGAAAAATTAGCCAGGCATGGTGGCACATGCCTGTGGTCCCAACTACTTGGGAGGCTGAGGTGGGAGAATCGTTTGAGCCCAGGAGGTCGAAGCTGCAGTGAGCTGTGATTGCGCCACTGTACTCCAGCCTGAGTAACAGAATGAGACCCAGTCTAGAAAATAAAAAAATTAAAAACCTGATACGGTTTTCATCTGTCTACCCAGTGTCAATCAAGATGAATGTTTATATACAAAATAGTCAAGAGGTTTGAATTAGGCTTTCAAAATGACCTTTTGCAGTTTGGAAAATGATAGGGTGATAGTAAATAAGAACAGCAAAAAAGAAGAGCACAAAAACAAAAGTGGAAACCGCCCCAGTCTCCTCATGCAGCTTTACCACTGTTAACATTTCTTTGAACAGCTGTGCATGCATATGTGCAAGATTTACAAAAGTGAGGTCAACTAAAACTACTGACAGTACAACTCAGCAGTGAAATCTGCAAGGACTCTTTAGTCTCCAAACTATGTTGGTCTGTTACCAGCTTCTCATCTGCTGGGCAGCAGGGAAAAGGATTCACACATTTTAGTCCAAAGTGGCTTAAACTCCTCTTGATTCATTCATTTGAACAATGATTTTAGGTTTTACTCATCCTTTTTATGCTGTCAGCTTATAATTTCAGTTTCTTTTCTCAGTGGTCCTTTCTAAGATGGTGGCAGAGATCTGGAGGAAGGGCCAGTACAACTTGAGGCATGGGGCAGAGTGGGAAGGGGGTGTCCCTGTTTGTTGTTGGTCCTTGATTTATATGGCTGGTGTCTGCTGAACGGGGATGACCTGGTCCCAACCCTGAGCCATTTTCTGGAATCTGCTGTGGTGGTTTGTAGCTAGTGGACTCATGAGGTATTCACTGTTAAGTCTTCCTTGGGCTGGAATGGAGAGACCTCTCTGTTACCACTACATCCCACCAGGGCCCTGGCCCAGGCTATGTACCTTCTCCTGCACTGGTAGGCACCGAGCCAAGGCTGCTGCTCCTTGACTCCCTGCCTGTTCCATGAACAAACTGAGGAACTCTCAAGAGTACAAACTAGATCTTTTTTTTCTACTTGACCACCAACTTAACCACACTAGCCAACCCATCTAATAAGGAAGTGCCCTGCATGGAGACATTCCTTGGGGGTCACTAACTTAGCAGAGAGCCCTCCATGCCCTCGAGTTCTGATGGGGCAGGGAGGGAGCCACAGGTGTGACTGCTTTCTTTCATAACCACTGTGTCTCTTCTCACATTCCCTGGGGTCAAAGGAGCCCCCTCCTCTACATTCTTTTCTCCCTAACAAATCTCTATGGTCTAATCTAGCAACACTGACTCTTGAAATGCTAAACTGTATACATAATATAGCATATTAAAATATATGTACACAGTAAAAATGGAGGTTGCCTCGATACATATATTTCAAGGCAGTTTCTATTTTATTCTGTAATAAGTAATACATACCTTTTCATGTCAAAAAGCATAGATTTACATTCACCAATTTTAAATTTAGTGAATGTTGCAAATCTGAATTGAGATTAAACATCTAGACCTGGACCTTTGAACTATACAACCACCCCCTTCTCCCACTCAGTGGCTTTCAGCGTAGGACTGAGAGTTACAACACCAGCTTCTCTGTTTCTGAGGCCTTCAGTCTGAGACTGAGCCACAATACCAGTATTCCAGGATCTCCAGCTTGCAGATGATCTGTTGTGGGACTTCTGAGCCACCATAATCGTGAGCCAATTATCCTAATAAACCCCATCTCATGTATCTATATACATATCCTATTGGTTCTGTCTCTGGAGAACCTAGACTTATATAAATTTGGTATTGAGGAAGCTGAGTATCATTTCTTCTTCCTGGAATGATATGCCTTTATGGTTTTCAATACTAATACAAGTTAAGGATTCTCAAACCGATGTCTTAAGCCCTGATCCAAACTCCTACTCAAAATTTCATCTTAAGTGTCTAATGAGCATCACAATATTCCAGTACTCCTCCTTTACTCTCAGTGGAAGAGACTGGGGAAATTTTTCCCAGAAAAAAAAAAAAAGCCTGTAATAAGCTAACTGTGTGAGGTTACTTAATGGTGAAATAAAAATTTTAAAGTGAATTATTATTGGTGCCACAAAAACACCAATCCCTTAATTGCAACAGCTGAGCAATAAGCATACTTTTAAATGGACAGCATATACTTATGCAATGTGTAGACCACAACGACTCTGCAAACAAGTGCAGCAAGTATTTTGAAGAATATAGAAGTGAAAACACAGGGAAAAAAAATGTAAGAAATCTCCCTTGCCAAGTTACTCAATTATGAATCACTTCTGCCCTTTCACCCCTAGTGCCAATTCACTATGCTATGCATTTAATCTCTGCATCACTTTTTGTAGTGGAGGTATAAACTGTGTAAAGACATTTAGAGAGTTCTAATATGTTTTATGGATTTTTTTGTGCAAATTTGGCTCCTGAAGGTGCATTACCACTACAACTTTTTGTGTAAGCATTGTGTGTGTATATACAAATGTCAAAACCTCCTTGATAAATAAATATATCCTTTCTGTACTTCTGTGCTTGTGAAAGATACAATTTCTCAAGATCTTGTTTCTGGCAAATGTGGTGGTGACTCATTGTGGTTCTTGGTTGATCTCATCCAGAGACTTAGCATGTCCGTCACAGTATTTCACATGACCACAGTTTATAAAACTGGGTGCACAAAATTACCGACTA